TAAAATAAAGAAATATTAATATTTATATAATCCAATCCAGGGATTTTTCAAGGCAAATTTTCTTCCGGGATCCTGAGATTCCGGGATTCCGAGATCCCGGGATTGCCATCCCTAGTGCAAACCTAAAATATCTATTAGGGTGTATTTCAGGAAAATATTTTAACTTTTACAGGGTGGCTCAAAAAAGTGTTAGTGGATCGAGATTATTTTTTTAAATGGAATACCCTGTATATTATTGCATTTTTGGCTTCCTTTCTAATAACTTTACATAATCCTGAGATATTATTAAATATGTTTTAATAGTTTCAGAAATATTATTAAATAAATAAACAAAAATTTCAGCCATTTTCAAAAAATTTATTAAAAATACAAGAAATCAAAACTATTTTAGGTATTTACTACAGTTGGTTTGTACTTAATGGAATACCGTGTATATTATTGCATTTTTGTATATTATTGCATATGTACCACACCACCCGCATTACGTTGTATTTGATATAGCATCGCCGATTGAAAGAATTGGGGCTTATTTCTATCATCAAGATGACAGTAATTAATTTGAAGCCCAAACTTTAAAAATTCTGTTTAAATAATTTAATATTGGAGTGGAACATATTCCCGCCTTCCACAGAAACTGTATCGATTTAATATGACATAAATTGACACAGTTCCAATCTAAAATGTCAATATTCCATGGGTATACCGGGTGCGTCTCAAAAGTGGCTCACCCCTATAACTTTTTTTATTTTTTCAGGTAAAAAAAATGAGATTTAGATATGTCAGTATATGACATAAATTAGGATTGATTGACGTATTCAATTGTTTTCTGTCGCTTCCTGTTTCACCAGAAATACAAATTTTGATTTTTAAATGGCTCCCTCGGTATTTTTTTACTTTATTCGATAGAAAGTGACATTCTGAATAGAATGACATATCATATGTCAACTTTTGACATTTTGGCTTAATAAAAAATCGTATTTTAAATTTTAATCTAGAGTGCCATGGCTGTGTTAAAAACACTACTTAATTGATAATCAAGGAGCCTTTGAAAAATATATTTGATCGTCTAATGTTTTTAGTGTTTTGTCCTGACGGGTTACAAGTTTCCTAAATCATATTTTTAATCATATCGCAATTTTTTCGCCAGGGTGGCTCATTAGAATATTTGGAAAAATCATTTTTTTACGAATAATTTCATACCACACACTTGACATATTTGAGTCAAATTTTCGTTATGAACCGCAATTTCAAATAAACCATATGCGAAAATGTCAAAAGCTTACATATGGTATGTTATTCTATTCAGAGTATTATTTTCTATCGAATAAGGTGCAGTTTAAAAATCAAAAGTTGTAATCATTTCCGGTGAAACAGGAATTGACGAAAAACAATTGAATACGTCAATCATTCCTAATTTATGTCATATACTAACATACCAAATCTCGTTTTTTTAACTGATAAAATAAAAAAGTTATAGGGGTTAGCCACTTTTGAGACGCACCCGGTATAACATATTTAGGGTAATATACTTTATTTTACAGGGTATCCCAGAAATAAGTGCAACTATTTTAAGGGGTAGTAGATCTCAATAAAAGAAACATATTTTCTCTTTATCGTTTTTCAAATAAGTCCAAAATAACGGAGTTATTTTGCTTTGAAAACTCCACACCTGTAATTTTTAACCAATCAAAACGTGTTTTTATGACAAATCACCATGGCAACGGATAAATTTTAGTGAAAATTTTTTCCTTGTGGGCACCCAACAGCGAATTATACTGGAAATTTTTTGACGTTTATAATGACAGGATATCATTTTGAGAGTCTGTTTTTTATTTGTTTACATGATAATTTTGATACATTTCAATTACAAAGCTGAGATGAAAGTTTGTAAACTGCTTCCATACGCTTGACTTCGATTTTCTGGTATTCACGGGTGTCAACTGCTTAATCTCCTGGCGAATATTTTCTTTGCTTTCATGACCGAAGCGAAACATTTTTTTTAAGCCGTGCCGCTTGACAGCTTCAAAACTGAAATAGTTTTTAGGTTTGGGTGTCACTTAGTTATCATCACGGGGGTGTCACTTGTATGGGAAAATAGGCAACAGTCAAATTTAAACGTGCCAGGATAAACGACAAAGAAAGCAACATTTGCCAGGCATTGGCTTTCTTTGTCACTCACATTGCTTAAATCATGATACCGCGGCCATTTTGTCAACAAAGAAGCTGGCCGGCTGTCCTGGCAAGTGATTTAAAACAATTTTGCTTTTACAATATTAAATACCATTTGGATGTATTTAATGCGATTATTCAATTAACTGGTAAGTCAGAAATTACACACAAATACTTTATTCGTAAATACAACTAAGATGTAAACGTAGTTTTGTATTTTTAGATTTCAACTTTTGCAAAGACCCGCCGATAGAACTTGCCTGGCAGCGTACCTGTTTAACTAAACGTATTATTTCCTGATAATAATATCAAAACACGTAAGTACCTCTATAATTTATGATGACAAATGATTTTGATTATGTTTTATGTTATTTAAATACTTTCTAACCTCAAATAATAGTAAGATCCTTGTTTATATCGCACAGCCCGTTCAAAACTGTATTGTCTTCAAAAAATGTTTACAAAACAAACAATTATTACAAAAACAATGTCCTTTTAATCTGATTTATACCTCAGAAGGATGCCAGTAAAATTTTATTAAATCAACATTATATTATTTGGCCATTAATATCCAAAAAGGAGCATATTGCCTAACTTAAATTTTCTTTTACTTCTCTTGACAATGTTCTCTATATTCTCTATTTTGAGTTAGTAAACTTTTGAACGGGATGTGCGATATATAAAATACATAATATATCCAAGGGTATGATCTGATAAAAGTATTTTTTGATGCATTTTTTGGTTTTTTATGCACGTTGGCTTGGTTTATGTTTTATTCAGCTTATATTTATTTGGTATAATAGTTTTTTTGCCTTTGGAATGGCATGTATTGAGGCTATAGATAGTGTTTCATTAGATCATTAAAGGAATTTAAATTAGCACATATTTTTTGTGATATTAGTGTGTTATTTTGATACAACTACTAGGTAGTTGTATCATAGTGCCTTATGCATGTTATTATATACTTATGTATTATCAGTAAATAGATGATAACATACTACTAAAATGTATTTTTAATAGTATGTTTATCTTTCCTATTCCCTAGTTATTTGCAAAATGTATTTTGAACTAATTTAAGTCATTAATTGATCATCTTTATTTTTCAGGTTCCGGGATATTCTTTTTCATTATTAAAAAATATATATATTTCAATATTATTGTAATATAAATCGCAGCTCTAAAAAATAAATGATATTGTTTACTAAATGTGTAATTTATTTACTATGAATTTTCTCTGAAAATAATAAGTCTTTAATAATATCATTGATTTGCTGTGTAAAGTTAATAGACATATTTTTTAATATTTTAAATTATATTAAAGTAATAAAAATATGTTTATTAACTTTAAACAGTAAATCAGTGATACTTATAAAAATATTTTTTAAAAAATTTCCCCTCTTTTAAGCCCCGCCCCTCCAATTCCCCTCAATTTAGCTAGTACTGCCAGGCTGCACCAGGTGGCGTCTGTTTCCATTTTTTAACATGAAGTTAGCATTTCTTTAATGTACCTATTCTCTGGTTATCATAGTTACTAAATAATAATAATAATAATAGTAACTAAATAATCAATTCGACCAAAAATCGAAAAATACATTTTAATTATTTGATTTTCAAACACAATTTGTCTTCGACTCGATTAACTTCGATAATTTTCAGAATATTCATGAGTTCGAAAAAATTTCCGGAAATAATTTGACATCTAGTGGTATTACGAGTGAAAATTTCCAAAAAAAAAATATTTTTTGCTAAAATTTTGAGAACCACTGGATCTTTTCTGGATTTTCTTTTTTGTAAATTTAATCTACTACCTATGTTGCCATATTATCAAGAAATTATGTTTTTTTAACTAAAAACTTAAAAAAAATTCAAAAATTTTTAAAAAAATTCCGAATTTTGAAAAAAAATTTTCGCGAAAAAAACCTCATAGGCGTGTTTCTGAGGTTGAACTATACTACCAGTTAAAATACTTGCACTTATTTCTGGGACACCCTGTATATTATATTGATAAATGAGGTCTAAATTATAAGAAAATGTATTTTCTGCGAAAATTTGAAGAGATAGGTAAAAAATAGTATATTTAATACAATTTGATAGACAATGATATTGTGCATCTGATTCTCGTAAAATATACAAGGTGTTCAGTTTAAATTTTAAAGAAAATTTTTTGAATAAAAATAATTTAAAATAATAATTTAAATACATTTTTAAACACTCTGCATAAGGTAGTATAATTTTTATTATTGCAACATAAAATTTCGTAAATAGAAAAACTTCAGTACAATCGAGAGTACAATATTTGGTTTTAAAAACTTAAATACGTCTAGAGAAATGAAGCATTAAAATTATTACTGTATTTTGATATAAAGGTAAATATTTTAAAAACGGTAAGATTAAAATGCGGTAAACGTTAATCAAATTTACCTTTATTTTAATCGTAGTAACTAAAAATGTAATAATATACAGGGTGTTCCATTTAAAAAATGCAACTTTGATATTTTTTTATATATTATGGACACTCTGCATCTTGTAAAAATATTTTTAAATTGTAGCTCTAATAGTCCTTCAACGAATCCAAAACTTACAATTTGTAGAAATCTAATCAAACGATTAGATTTCTACGCATACAGATTTCTACGCATACGGAGTGTTGTAGCTAAACAGCTACAACACTCCGTGTCTTATGTGGTGAATAACCCTGTATAAAGAAAAAAAAAATACGTAAAAAATAATATAAGACTTCTATTTTTCCAGTTAACTTTTACGATTTCTATTGTTACCGAACATCACCTGATTAACATGAAACAGTTTTATAAAGCGATATTTTATTTCAGGAAAATGACTTCCCAAGCAGAACTTCAAAAGAAACTCAATTTGGAAAGGGCCACCAACTTTATGAGACAATACAGAGACCCCAATTCCAGAGAACTCAAGAAACTCTCCGCTAATCAGTTTATGGAAGTTTGGAGCCATTACGATAGAGACGGTAAGAAAGTTTACTAAAGATCGGCGATTTTAGTAATTTATTACCTATTATGAAAAATATTTTGATGAAAAAACGGTACTTTTATGAATCTTATCAAAAAATATAATCAACAGAGTTTTTCTTTTAAGATATAATCTACTACAGTCTGTCCAACGACAAGATCCTTGATAGTGATAGATGTGTCTGTCGTTTTAATTTCCAAGTAGTTTATTTTATTTTACAAAGAAATAAGTTGGTACAATTGGAACGCATAGCAGGAAATTAATATATATATATTTGACTGACAAGTGATTACTTCAAAATATTGTGAGAAAAACTTATAAAACTGAAAAAATGTAATCGAGTTATTTTATTTAAAAAAACGGTATGTGCTAATACAAAACAAACAATAACAAAACACCACATACCAAAAAATATAAAAAAGAACTATTTCTGATTTTCAAGCTTCAAGAAACTTCCCGCATTTATTATTATATTTATTAATACAGCTTATGTACAAATACAAATTTGTAATATTCCACAGGAATAAATAAAACAACATAAATAAAACAAACTATTTTATTAATAATAACACTTACCAAATTCAATACCTTGGTTGATTAATTAACTCTAATCTTAATTTTTTTAAACTAGTACCTTTTGACATTATTTTTCAGTACTAAAATCCATTATTTACCTATCGTGTGATGTCGATATTTTACAGCTACTTCAGTTTTTAGTATATGTTTAGTACGATCCTTGTACCATATACGAGATGCACTTATCTAACGACGAGATGGTATACAAACTTTATTGATGGTAACTTTATTGGTGTATAAGACTTTCTCCGTGGCCAGCGAGTATTAACTATAAACTGTGCTCTGGGTCTGCAGTTAATATTCCCTCGATTTTTCCTCCACTTGAATTCAAAAGCCACAAAACACACGTAATAACACGAATCAAAATGCATAATCTTCCAAAACGCATGGTATTTGATATAAGTTCACACAAAATTATAATCTATAATTTAGCCAGACTTTGACAAGCCTCAAAAATCTAAAGGCGAGTTCATACGCATCGGCGTCCGTTGTCGGTCATCGTTCCGTGAAACCAATAAAATTGAAATATGCCATTTTTGAAATAAACCAATAAAACTGGTTAAAAACAGCAAGAGACGACGCATGACGGATTTTTATTTAAACCCATCCATAGTTAACTTAAAAAATATTAGAAACTTTTTTTAGTAAAATAAATATATTAGTATGGGACGTATCTACTTTTCTTCTGTCATCGTCTGTCGAAATCTTACCTGAGAAAAAAAACAGAGTGTAGTGTATTTTTTTTCTATAAATAACATGCTTAATTTTACATAACAAAGTTGTATAAACGGGGCTTAAGTTATCTTTCTAAGTAATTTTCTCATGGTAACCATAGAAACGGCTATTATTGTTGACATCACTAATTATTTAATTTAATTTTAGTTTCCATGTATTCCAAATTGGACGTTTTCTACGAAAAGTGACGTCATCGATTTTGAAAGCTGCCATGCAATTTAAATACTCTTTTATGCATCCATATCTTTGAATCAAGAGGTCAATATCAAAAACTAATTTTATTTCTTATTTATTAATGAAACATACAGGGTGGCGATGGCGCCTCTCATACACCGCGGAGAATAGTAGTTTATATCCATCGCAATGTAATTTTGGCAGCATATTTAGGTTAACTGAAAGCATTTTATAAAAATATATAGCATTATACAGGGTGTCCCCAAAAAAAGTTACACATCAAATTTGTGTTTTTTCTAATGGAACATCCTATATATTAATTGATTTTCGGATTCTGTAAAAAAAATAATGGTGAGTTTTATTAAAAAAGCATATACCTAAAATCTAAGAATTTTGACATATTTCACATTTTGTGAAAATGAAGAGTAAATTTTAAATTTCGATAATATAGCTACCCAAATTTTAGTTGACCTTGTATAGTCTGATATTTAATTACAATAACCATTGTATGTTAAACCAAATTGCAAATTGACCTGAAAAGTTATACAGGGTGAGACAAAATTAATATGGAACATTAAAAAAAAGCAAGTTACACCTTTATTTTAAATGGAACACCCAGTATATTTTTCCGATATTCAATGGGGAATATATCTTCAAAATATTATTAAGTTTGGCTACCCATCAGACAAAGATTTTCCTAGATATTTTAATTTTTATGATTTTGCGTCAGTAGATCTTTATTATTTGAAAAAACCTAGGGTGGCTGTGTGATATACCTTTTGTTAATTTAACAAAAATTAAAGATTGTAGAGTAAAATACTCGGTAATAAAAAGATTCACCTTTAAAACATATTTTAATTATTACAGGATTACAACTAGTTATAAATTTATAATTATGTGCCAAAAATTAGCCAGATGAAATCAAATACTCAAAATGCTTTCTTTCCTGTTAGATAACTGCATAAAATAATTGTCATTTCAAAAAGATCTTTTAATTTTAAATGGCATACATAATATGTGGAGTTGTAGCTCGAAAAGCAGCTACAATAATTTCTCTCATATTGTCGACAATAGTTGGTCGAGTTTTGTATAAACACTGTTTTTAACATAGGTACATATATCCTCATAAGCCAGACTAGATAAAATCAGGAGCATTTAAGTATTCTATTAATTAGTAAATGCACACTGCATTCAGCAACTAACAGAATCATATCAATTATCTAGGAAGTAGGATATAAGTTTGCATTTTCGGCAAATTTCTGAGATTTTTTTTTGTTTTAAGTGACACAAAATGTTAACTAGTTGTTAAAGTTGGACTAATTATACAGCTATGTTGAAGTTGAAGTAACATCAGACATATCACAGCCACCTGAGAATAATATACTGGGTGTTCCATTTAAAATAAAAGAATAACATGCCTTTAAAGATGACCAATGTTCAATATTAATTTTTTCTCACCCTGTATAACTTTTTGAATCAAGTTTTAATTTGATTTAAAGTACAATAGTTTAACTAAATATTAGGCTATACCGGGTAAATTCCAATTTAGGTAGCTTTTATTGTAATTTAAAAATTGTTCTTTATTTCTAGAAAATGTTATATATGTTAAAAACCTTACATTTTAGTCATATACTTCTCTTATAAAACTAACCTTTATTTTTCTCCCAGAATCCGAAAATCAATTAATATATAGGGTGTTCCATTACGAAAAACACAACCTTGATATGTAACTTTTTTTGGGGACACCCTGTAAAACTCTCTATATTTTTAAAAAGTGCCCTGAATTAACCTACATATGCTCACAAAATTTCATTTCAATACAAACTGTCGTTCTCCTTGGAGCCTCCGTGGCGTATGGGAGGCGCCATCCTGTATTTGTTGTAATCTCTTACGTTATAATAATAAAGTTTCAATAAAACATGAATGTGACAAAATTAGACCACTGGAGTTACTTCTCCTGTCAGTTATTTTTAGTTAAATACATATCTAGGTACATACCTATCCTAGGTACCTTACCTACTGTTTTCTATAAATAATATGCGTATCTAGGTAGGTACCTTACCTACTGTTTTCTATAAATAATATCTTTTTAAATCTGTTATTAAATTAGGAGAATTAGTCACCCAAGTGTGAAGTATGTGTACCTATAATTAGTTAAAAAAATAATAATTTGAAATTAAGTACCAAGCGTATATGAACGTATACCTTTTTTGCTTTATTTGGAATCAGTACCTAATACCTATTATCTATATTTATTGCTATATTCACTATTATTGTATATTACTTTATTAGTCTACTTTAAATAAGTCTTATATCAGTAAAAATGAGAAAAAAGTAATTGAATTTCAAACCATATTTCATGCACTAATAATCTTACAAATCGATTTCGTATATAAAAGCGTATTAAAATACGAATTCCCATGTCTCGATAGCCGTGATCGTCTAGTGGTTAGGACCCTACGTTGTGGCCGTAGTAACCCAGGTTCGAATCCTGGTCACGGCAGTGTCAAACACTGTCACGGGGAGACTAACTTTTTTATTTTTTTTTCGGGTCTTATAATTATTAAATTAAACATACATAGTAGAAAATTTTGAAAAATTCCTAATATTTTAATTATTTTTCTATCTTTTATGAGTTTATTGTTCAATATATACCTACTCCGTTCTTTCTACTGCTTATTTATTTTTATTTTTATTCAATTTAAAGAAATGTTATTTGCTACTGTTTTAATAAATATATTTATATATTTGCAGGGAATGGTTACATAGAAGGTACCGAGTTAGATGGATTTCTAAGAGAATTCGTTTCCAGTGCAAACGCTACTGATGTTGGACCTGAGGTAATATGACAATTGTAAAAATACAAAAATCGTCAACACAAAACATCACCCTTGTTTTATGCCTGGCAATTTAAATGCAGTTTCTATTTTTGTAGTTTTGACATTATTTTTTATTTTTTTGAACTTTTGTATTTTTTCAAACAATAAAACGAAATTTGGTACGTTGGTATATGACATAAATCGGGATTGATTGGCTTATTCAAATACCTTCGGTCGCTTACTGTTTCCCCGGAAATGACAACTTTTTATTTTTAAATTGTATCCCCGGTATTTTTTATTACTTTATATTCATTACACTATTCATAATCTTTAGTAAATTTTGGATATTTTTCATTAGAACCATTTTCTCCTATCTGCTAAAATAAAGTGGTGGGGTAAGGTTAGATCTATCTTTATTTAAATGTTAGTAACTCCGGACTGAATGATCAGAATCCAACAAACGAGGGCTCGTTTAAAAGAGCGTTTCTTACTCTATATTATACCATAAAAATAATAATAATAAGGTTTAGAACGTAGACGCTAGGGGGCGCTTTCTTACAATTTAAGCGCGTTTCTTACAATATATAGCGCGTTTTTTCAAAAAAAAATAAATAAGATAGTATATGTAATTTTAGCTGATAGTAAAGAGTAGTAAAATATTAAAAAGGCAGCGAAAACCGCATCTTGATATCTTCTTTCAAACCGAAGATATTAGCAAAATTATCATAAATACCAAAAATTAAGCCCTTAATTACCTTATTTTTACAACACGGTATCAGTAGCCCTCTTGATTATGCCCATTCTAACAAAAAAATAAGATAGAAATAGTTAGTGTTTAACAATACTTTTGAGACGTTTGAAAAAAAAATCCTTTTGATATGAAGCGAACGACTTTTTTTGATGTATTGAATATACCTATCGGTGGCCGATGTGGAAATCACACGCCCCGTAGAATTGTTATCGGTATCGGGGTATTTAGCCATTTAGGATAGGACTTTAATTGGAAATAAGTCCTAGTCATTTAGAAATCCGATTTAAATATTGTTTTGAATTAAAATTTAAAAAAATCTGATTTTTTTAAAAAAATCATGATTTTTTCCAACCTTGGTTAAAACTAACCATTAAGTTTTAATCAAGGGGCTTTGGAAAAATAGATATTTTATCGTCTAATGTATCGAGTGTATATTTTCCTGGTCGCTTAAAAGATGCCGAAATCATATTTTAAATCGTAACTCAACTTTTTCGAATGGAAATGGCTTATGAGCATAACGGGAAAAAGCATTTTTTATGAATAATTTGGTATCGCATATCAGTCAAAATCGTTACATTTATGGCGATGGCTCTCTAAGGAGTAATTTAAAATGCTATTTTTTAATTGGAAATATCAAAAGTTGACATATGATATATCATTCTATTCCTTTGTTCTATTCAGAATGTCATTTTCGGTCATATAAAGTAAAAAAAGACGGTATCCTCTATACCATTTAAGAATCAAAAGTTGTTGTAATTTCCGGTGAAACAGGAAGTAATCTGTATATACCCTGTGGTTTTTAGAAATGGCTTGTCTCTATAACTTTTTTATTTTCTCAAACCAAAAAACGAGAGTTCGTATGTTAGCATATGACACAAATAAGGACCGACTGACGTATTCAATTTTATTCATTGTCACTTCCTTTTTCATCGGAAATGATACATTTTCCATTTTTATAATAATTTCCATTTTTGTCCATAACGAAAATTTAAATAGCTAATATGTATGCGGTACCAAACTGTAGAACAGTTAGTACTTAGTTAGTTCGAACACATGTCGGAACAGCTACCGCCAAATTAATGAGGTATCCGGATTACTGGAGGAATATTTCTATAATGTTGTTTCCAACTTAAACCGAAATTTTAAACACATTTTTTATTTAAGGTATCAAAAGTGGACATATATGATATGTCATTCTATTCAGATTGTCATTTTCTATCAATTAAAGTAAAAAAGTAAAAAATACAGATGGTATATTTTAAAAATCAAAAGTTGTGAATTCCTGTGAAACAGGCAGTGACCGAAATTAATTAAATACGTCACTTAATCCTGATTTATGTCATACACATAAATAAAGAAGTTTTAAGGGTGAGCCCCCATATAACACAACACAATCCTATAGATATCTTGAGGATATCCACCCAGGATATAGTAAATATCTTAGGGATATCCAAACACCAGAGGAGGATATTTATGGGATATCCAGATGGGACAAAAAAAGTAATCTTCGAGACATCCCTAGGCAAGCCTTTTTCGATTATTTGGGATATTTATAGGATAATACAAAGATGATGTTGGGATCATAATATAGAATATTTTTAGGTCATTATATTAGGACTGTTATTTGACAATTAATACTTACTTCATCCTTAGTTTATAGTAAAAACGTTCGCGATTTAGTTTTATTTAGCCACGTTTTGACGTTATTCATTGGATATTTTTATTAACAGCTCTAAAATATACCTACATTTTATGACAATGAATTTTGTTTCAAAATTTAGAAGTTTATTTGTATGAGTTAAGAGCTTACAATTTATACTGTACCATCGAAAAAAAACGGCGTTCAATTGACTTGAAAATTACGATCGATGACATTCCCCATATAATTTTACATACAAAATAACAGAAATTTTCATTTCCAAGCCACCTCTGACGCCGTTTTTTTCGATCGTATGGTATTATACCAGATTATACTACCCTTTATGGACCCTCTAGCAGTCTAGCAGCAACAGTTTACATCAAAGTAAGCACACAGGATACAGGCAGAGTACTTAAACCACCGAGTAGCGACAGTCCCGTTTTCAATTTTCTTTGCGGCTGCGCGAAATAAGTTGTTTATCTGTCATATGAAGAAGCGACGTTGCCACTGTTGCCATTTATCAAATATCTCTATATACTTATTTCAAGTATACCTCAGGCAACGAATCGTTTTATTAATTATTTATTAGCAGAAAGAAGCTATTATTATAGAAGCAGAATTATATTATAGAAGCAGAATTATATTATAGAAGCAGAATTTATTAGCAGAATAAAAAGACATCATGGGCATATATTGAAACATTTTACAATTCAGATAAATCTCAGTTTTATAGGTGTGCACCTAAACTAACTTATGCTCATTTATATCCCACGTCATTTGAAAGTATGAAAGTAAGCTATGCGGCGCAAGTTTTAAGCCATTCAGTGGCATGTGGTATGAATACATACATGAGTTTGGGTGCACTACCTCATGAGGCATTTGGTACAATTGAAGTAATTGAAAAATTTAATCGTCTTTTTGACGTTCTGAATTCAAATTCAACCCAAAACCCATTTAAATTTCAAAATGCTTATGACGGTTCGGAATTTCAGAATCAATTTTTGATAGAAATGTTAGAATTTTTGAAAAATTTAAAAATAATAAACGTAAATGGGAAGGACCTAACAAACACATTGAAATTTATTAAATGCTGGACAATTACTATAAAAAGTATTTTTAAATTATGGGACAACCTAAAGGCAGTAGGGTATAAATACCTCATGACTGCAAGGCTGAATACAGACTGCCTGGAAAACTATTTTGGGAGCGTAAGGCAGCAAAGCGGTAATTGCGTAAATCCCACCCCCATCCAGTTCCAAAGAGCATTTAAAAAGCAATTTATCCAAAATTATTTTCATTCAAAAAATATGAACTGCAAACCAGACCTCGCCCACTTACTAGTGAATCTTAAATCCGATTTCAAGGAATTGGAGACAACGGCAGAAGCAGAAACAAACTTGGAAGTTTTGGCTGTATCTGTAACGGACCACAGTTACAGAACTGAAAATATCGAAATAAAATGCCTTTTATTATGTTTGTGGGTATTTAATGAAAAAGATGTCTACAGGTTCACTCATGCGAAATATGCGAAACATTTAGCAGAGAGTGTCAATCGCTAGATGTACACACATTATTAACACATTTTAAGGCATTCGATCCTCTAAAGGGCATTTTTGGTGGATTGTCTTCACCGCCAGAAAGATTCGTAAATTTTGTTTATAATTTAGATTTGATTTTTGATAGCGAATTTGAAAAAAAAATGATAGGTGATCAAATTTCAAATTCGCTTTTAAATATATTCAAAAATTTGATCACCCCTGTAAAGACTTTCCAAAATCATTTCTTTTAAAATTATTTATTAGGTGTAAAATATTTTATACTTTAAAATTTAGAAATAGAGATTTTAAATTTAATAAAACCAAAAAAAATGTACGTAAATTAAGAAACTTAATGCATGTATAATTAAACAAGTTATAAATCGAAACATTTGTTTTTTTTCTTTCCAGCATCCTTATAAATTAGTATTCTAGATATCTTTAGTAAAGCCCTGTTGACACGATCCAAGCGTACTTGGACCGAGTCAACCGGGTAAAATGTAATACCAGGTAATACTGTATGATCGAAAAAAAACAGCGTCCAGTTGGCTTGGAAATGAACATCGATGACATTCCCCATATAATTTTACATATAAAATGACAGCGATCGTCATTTCATAGCCATCGCTGACGCCTTTTTTTTCGATCATATTGTACTTTTTAAATTCTTTTTTGCATCAATTCCATTTTTTTTATTACTAAGTTTTATACAAATTATTTTATGTAAAATAGGTAAAAAATAAACTGACAAAAAAAAAGATAAAAATCGATATTAGGTAAAAGCACAAAAAACTTTTTTTGCATTTTAAATAGCAACCACAAGGTTTCTTTTCAATCTTTTTCAATGAGATTCATATTATATCATTTATCTCTAAATATTATAAATATGTAATTCCACTTCAAATGGTGAGCAGTGTATACCACGTTTATAGGACCACTTCATAAGTTGAGCAGTTAAATACGTTGTTTATCTGTCAAGCACGTGATAAGAGAGAGAAAGAAAATTTGGTCCCACCCATAGACTTAAAATAAAATATAGACTACACTATTTACATCTCAACGCGGACAAACAACCTTTTTTGTACACATGTTTACT